GCTTTATTTAAAAAAAAAAACGAATTAACATAACGGTTGAACTATATAAAAAATATTACATTTTCATTATATATATTATTTATTTTCAACAAATATAAATACAACTAATAAATAAAAAATATAAATACTAAATATATTTTTTATTATATAAATATTTTAATAAATGTATAATGATGTTGACTGAAATACAAATTACTGAAGTCTAAAATTGAAATGCACATAACAAATAACCGCTCAATAAACCACACAATAATGTTAGACGAACTGCACATTAGTGGATGTGTGATTGCATATTATCGATTTCAATATTTTATATATTACCTTTTCCAACCACAGATAATATAAAATATGAAAATACTAAATATATATTTATAATATAAATAATAAATTATTTCATTTATTTAATGTAATTCGGTTAATCGATCGAATAAACATATGATTTCAATTCGGTTTTAGTTTGGTTTTTGACAAATCATTAAAAATTCATGCCTTGGGAGTTCATAAAAGTGTTAGACAAATTGCACAATAATGACTATCAGATTGCACAATATCGAACGAAACTAACCGAATAAAAATTTCGGTTCGATTATATTTTTTTTAAACTTTGAAAAACTCAGTTATTTTGGTTCGATGATGGCTCTATTTTTTAAAATAATCGAAATCACTAAAACGACCGAACTATATAAAAGAAATTACTTCTTTGTATTCTTATATAAAAATATTATTTATTTTCAGCAAAAAAAATATTTGATTTTAAAATACTAAATATGTTTTTTATAATATAAATGATGTTTTATTTCAGTCATTTTGGTTATTTCAGTTAACCTATCAAATAAACCAAGTAATTCGGTTTGATATTAATTTAGATTGAGACAAAACTTCAGTCGCTTCAGACTGCACAATAGCAACCGAAAATGTGCACAATTGTGTTAGACGAATTACAGATTAATGTCCACTAAGAGTGCACAATATCGACCGAAGCCGACCCATCTAAAATTTTTGGTTTGAAATATATATATGGCGGTTCGATTAAATATTTCTACTTTTAAAATTTTAATTATTTCGATTTATATAATTAATGTGCATTTATTTAAATTTTATTAAATTACACATTTTCTTCATCTACTAAAATGCAATATATTAACAATTAAAAAATTGCAAATAAGTCATAATGATTAATCAATTTTTCCAAACAAAGTCCCTATCCTCAAAATTGTTTTCGGACATCCTTGACCCACAGCTCGTCTACGTCGAACGGCTGGAGATGACAGCGAGGATGGGCTGAAATATCAGCCTCGTCGGACACCATTCATAGAGTCAGTGTCGCTGGAATTTCTCGACTTGAATTCTGCGGCGGGCCAGGACGCAAGAGCTGCCGGCGAGAAAAAGTGATTGTGGCAGGAGTTTTAGACTAGCCGGAGCACGTGGACGTGCGCGACGGACTGAAGTCGGTCGACGATTTTCTAAGCATATGAACGGCTTGAACTTTTTTCTCCGGCTGATTCTTTGCCGGAGTTTTAGAAATTCAACCTTGGCCGGTGAGTCTCTGGAGGCCGCTGGTCGTGCGTGAGGTGGTTGAATTGGGCGGTGGGAGGTGGTTGAAATGGGGCATATGGAAGACGGCGGCGGGAGGTGGTTGCAGTGGGGCATATGGAAGACGACGGCGGGAGGTGGTTGCAGTGGGCGGGGGGAGCCCAGACGGCTGTGGCTGATGCACAATCAGTGTGTGTGTGTGTGTGTGTGGTGAGTGTGTGAGTTTTGAAGTGTGTGTTTGGGTGTGTATGTGCAAGAGAGAGGTAGATTAGGTTAATGTGTTCGGTGGGGCCTGCTGTGTGATTTGACATTGTTTGTAATGACTAAATTACACTTAATGAGTGGTCAAACATATACATTTGACCGAGACTTGTTCACATATTTGCCATAATACCACCACGTCTTACCGTTATTTACTAATTTTTGACTCCATCATGATTATAATATGTTTGATCCAATGGTCCACAATCATTCTTATTTTTTTCACTACGACGATTTCTAATATGATCCCACTTTTGACGATTTTTAATATGGTCCATATATATATATATATATATATATATGGTCACGCTCCGGTGAGAATGATACTCAGTGAAAGACATTAGAATACATCGAGGTCATTAGACGGATAATCCAACGGCTAAAAAGAAAAACAAAACATCTACAATGATTAGAGATAAATTAGACTTTGCCATAATCACACCCACCAGTGGGCCTGCACTATGGCTGCAAACGAGCCGAGCGGCTCGCGAGCGTTCGAGTCAAAGCTTGGCTCGAGCGGCTCGAGCACGAACTCGAGTCGAGCTCGAGCCCATATTTTACATTGTCGAGCAGCTCGAGATATATAGTAAATTATTAAAATACCCCTTCTATATATATAATTTGACAAAATTGTTTAAAAATTTTCGAACCGAACTCGAGCGGAACTCGAGCATTTTGAATTCGAGTCGAGCTCGAGCTATTGTATTTTCTTATCGAGTCGAGCCTAAAAAATTGAGCTCGACGAGCTCGAGCAGCTAAAAAAAAAATCCAGTCCTGCTTGATAAGGCCAATGCTCGATTCGTCTTGGCTCGTTTGCAGCCCCAGCCTGGACCCACCCCACACCACACCACACCACCCTCCCACAAAGCGTACACATAGCGCGCACACACACACACACAGTAACGTTCGTCATACACACACAAAACACACCCGCCGCTGGTCAGCCCTTCCATCTCCGCCGACACCGTGCCTCCGTCACAACCCAAATCCCCCTCTGTCGCTGCCGTCCACTTCCATGAGTCTCCATGTCTCGCCATTCGACAGCCCTCACCAAACCCTATATTTTTTAAGTTGAAATCGATTTCCCGACTATGAAGCTCAAAGGCACGGATGAGAAATTCTAATTCATCATTTCTCTTGGTGATGAATAGTGTAATTACCAGGCCATTGTTTTCTGGCATGGCGGAGATGATAGAGATGAGGTCGGCGCGACTGAAAATCAACGACAAATGTGGACGGAAGTTCAATTTGGGGATTGGTTTTTTTTTTAAAAAAATAAAAAAATAGATAAGCCTCAATGACTTGTTTGCAATTTCATGAAATTGAATTATGTTCATGAGTAAAATCTTAAATTTATCAAAAAGTTAGGGCATGCTTGTTTATAAATTATTTCATTCTCATTCATTTCATACTCAAAATCTAACTCAACTTTAACTCAACCCCACTATCTTTAATATTATTCATATGATTAAATTATACAAACCAATCATTATTACACATCACATCAACTTTAATTCACTATTCATCCACTCACATAATTTAACTACCTATCATTTTCAATCATTTATCTCCTACTTTTACATCAAATCAATTTTAATCATTTTATTTTAAATATTATTTAATACATTCTTAAAATTTCACTAACAACTAACCATACTATCTTTTTCAAAATTAACTATGGTTAATCAAAATAACTCATTTTGAACAAATTATTCCATAAACAAGCGCCCCCTTAATAAATTCACAATAATTTATCCAAAATTACTAATTGCACAATAATTTGGATATTCACATTAAAAATACATGCGATACATAATGCACAATAATGATAGACAAGATGCACATTAGTGCTTCTGAGATTGCATTTTAGCGTAATAATGTACTTGCTAGAATAAAATTTCTTGTATGTTTTTTATATGTCGGTTTGGTTATCATTAATTACTTTTAAAAAATATGTTATCACTTCGGTTTCGCTTTTATTTTTAAAATAACAGAACTAACCGAACCAATTGAACTATATTAAAATAGTATCTATATTAGATATATATATATATATATATATATATATATATATTATGTCTTTTCATCCAAAAATAATTGCAACTATTGCATTGGGATATGCACATTAAAAAATACATATTTCACAATAGTGCTAGATAAGATGCATATTAGTGCATGTGATATTGCACTACCGACCGGAATGTATAGAAATAAAACTTTGGTACAGTATATATATGTCGATTCGGTTATCATTTTATACTTTTAAAATTTCACTTATTTTCGTTGAGTTTCGGCTTTATTTTAAAAATAACCGAACCAACCGAGATATATAAAAATATTATTTATATTTTATGTATATATATGTGTGTGTTTTTTTCATCCAAAAATTATGTAAAATATTAAATAAATATTTGAAAATACTAAATATATGTTTACAATATAAATCATAAGTTATTTCAATAATTTTGGTTAATTTGGTAATCCAACCGAATAAACCGATCATTTCGGTTCAATTTTAGCTTGTTTTCAGACAAAAAATTGGCCAGTTCAGTTTTTTCAAAAAATTTACTCGGTTATTTCAATTTTCACGTTTCGGTCGTTCGGTTTGACCAAACTAATCGATGAATAACATTAAGTTGAGCGGTGGCATTTTAGTAAATTGGTAAATTTAAGAATCAATTGAACCGACCAATAAATAACTATGTAATTGCATCAAAATAAAACAAAATTTTTAATGTTCATTTCTCACACATGATTGTACACTTTCTTTATCATTATTGCGTTTAGTATATTTGTTATAATTTATCGATTTGACCCATGAAATAAAATAAAATTTATTAAAATTTTTAAAATTACAAATAACTCCCTGGTTTAATCAAATTCTCAAATAGCGGCCTTAACTCCTGAAACAAAAATCTGAGTGACTTCCATTACAACATCCTTCACCAGCAGCTGCCCGCCGTCTGCCCTTTCCTGCGGACCGGTTATACGCTGTCAGATAACATCCTCGAGACGGACATGGTCTTGAGGCCTCGAAACCCAAAATCGCGCCAGATGATGAGGATGACGGAGTTTTTGGCGATGACTGACGATGTCGTTCTCGACGAGAGTTTTCTCATAGGTAGCAGCGTTCTCCATGTTACAACGTAGAGTCGTGCGTGTGTTGGATGTTATTTTTTGACGAGAGACACTATAGCAGAGTGGACCTTCGGCGGTGCCAGTGGCTGCACTGTTGGTGGCCGACGACGGCACCGTCGACGGGATCGGCGGTGTGGTGTGTGGTAGCCGGCGGCAGGACATCAAACAAGGATGTCCGGCACCAGCAAGAGGATGTTCGGTGTGTGTGTGTGTGTGTGTATGTGTATGAGAGAGAGAGAGAGAGAGAGAGTCACCTTAGGCGTGGTGGGTTTGGTGGGGTCCACTAGGTGATTGGGATTTGTTATTAATAACCAATTTACCCTTACTTAGTGGTCGAATGTGTATATTTGACACAACATGTCCATTTATTTACGGTATTGCCACTGCATATTTGACCAGTATTTACTAAATTTTGACTTTATCATGACCATTGATATGATGGATCCAATGATCCACACTTATTCTTATTTTTGTCACTATATATCACTCATTTTCATATGATTCTACTATACTACAGTTAATTAATGAAATGCATAATAATGTATGGTTAAGGGTGTGATGGATAAAAGATTATTTCGAAAAGAAAATTGTTCCATTTGAAAACGTTAGATAAACAAGAGAGATAAAAATTTATTGTTACAAAAATGTGAGGTAAATGTGAAACTATAAAAAACTAAAAATACAATCCTGCTACACTACCCAAGTCCCTTCACATGGTTGGGTTACAAAATGACATGGCAACAATATAAAAAGAAAAAATAAAAATCTATAAATAAAAAGTTAATAAAAGAATTTATTTTTCCCAAATTGAAAACGTTAGTTTCCCAGCCCTCATCTTTCTTCAACCCTACAAATCCGTCGATTTCTTTGAGAGAAAAAGTGAATGTCGAAAATTTTCTTCCGACATCACCGACGCGAAGAACCTCTGCATCATTTCGGTGAAGGGAGTCAAGGATCGCCTCAACAGGATCAAGGAAATTTAGGTATTGAAGCTCACTCATATGACCTAGCCGGGACGGAATTTCCCCGGACAGCTTATTGTTGGCGAGATTGAGTATCTGGAGGCTCGATAGGTCGCCCAACTCGTCCGGGATGGAGCCATTGAGACAATTGAGGGAGATCGTGAAGACAACGAGGCTGGAGCAGCCGGCGAGCTCCCGGGGGATGGGCCCGGTGAGGTCGTTGTCGCCGATACAAAGGAGGCGGAGGTTGGGGCCGAGGCGGGCCGGGACTGGGCCTATGAGGTTGGGGCCGAGGCGGAGGTTGAAGAAAATGAGCAGAGTGTCCAAAGAGGAGAGGTTGCAGAAGAGAGCATGTGAGTCAGTCATGGAGGCAGGAAAGGGAGTAGTCTGAGAGGTAGAGCCCCACCGCCCGGCGGCCGGCTGCTGTTGCTGCAGGAGACGCCTCTCCAGCGGAAGAAGTTTGGTTGGGTGCTTGAGACGCCACCCAATGACGGTATCTTGTTAAGCCCATCTACGTAAGTAGGTCGTCATCTTCTCGCAGGTACTGAATGGGAAGGACATCATCTCGCAAGTTCAGAATGGTGGAGTCCCTTGGTTCTTGGGCACGAGTGTCTTGCTGCCATTGGAATCCTTAATGGCCAATGTTTTGTAATTTGTGAAAGGCGGTGCTCTTGTTTACAATTTCATCTCTTTGTGGATTTGTAATTTGTAGCTATCAATGTGGTTATGGACAATGTTTTACAATGTGAAACCTGTGCAGAATTTGAACTTGGGAAATAATTTGTCTCTAGTCGGAAAGCAAATATATTTTTTTGTTCTATATGCAATGCATAAGGTGATTGTTATGAAGGTTTTGTTATGGACACTATTTTTGAAGATTCTTGAAATGAACTATTAAGACTTTTTTTTTAACCATCCGACTTCTGTTTAAAGAAGCTATTTTCCAGTAACTCGCTCGAAATAATTCTCGAAGTTTTGTACTTCAGCTCTATATAGCTCACAGAACAACTTTGAAAATGAATTAATATGAGGTGAAAAGGAGCCATTGAATGATACTTGGAAAAACTTTCAAACTTCTTAATTCATTTAAGCTCCATTTCCATACATTGCTGTAAGCCAAACATGACATGTCAAAGGAGATAAAGAAAATTGAACCAAACATGGCATGTTAAATGAAATTTAAAACATCCAAAATATAAAGAAGCATGAACCAATATCAAGAACACACTAAGAAAAGGTATGTCGATGAAGCTGATATGTAAGGGAAAATGCTGGAATTGAACAACATGATGCATGTATACATAACGCAGAACTAAATAAACACACTATAAGAGTCATCGAAATGCTAAAACTCTGGTTAACAAAACATATAATATCTCTAAATCTCAAACCTGCAATGTTTGAAGATTCACAAGCAAAAAGACATGCGAATCTCGGGCTCGGCTCAAAACTAAACCTAACATTTATCCAGTTCAAAATATGAAAAAAAAAATTAACCAACAGAATCATATTCATAAGACAGAACACAAAAAAAAAAAAAATACAGAACAGTAATAACAGGAAGCAACATTTAAAACAACACATATACAAAGCATATGGATTCGCCCGATTTATCGAAGACTCGTTACATGCCAAGTGTTAGTCGAGCCAACAACAGACAATGAGTTTGGAAGTCGAATCACTGTGACCCTATTCACAATTGATCGAGAAAGCTTTCGTTCAGATGGGCCGCACGGCTCATGTGTGAAATATAGGCATCCGAACATTCCTAATTGATTCCAAAAATTTTAAACATCACACCAGGAGAACAAAAATTTCATTTTGATAAATGCTACTAACATCATATCCATTACATATCCTCAAAAAAACAATGTAACCAACCTATGGACCTTATGGAAATAAACCTTATTTAGTTGGAAAAAGTTCAAGCGCAACATTTGTGATGCTATCAGGTGTCGCTATTGGATCATTTTTCTTTACTTTCCTTAAGCGTACCTGTAAAAAAAAAAAGTAAGTCATTTTATCAAAATATTTTATGCAAAAAATTAGAATATACCTTTGATTTATTTGAGTTGACTTCCAGGGGAGCTTTTTTCCGTTTTGTCCTAGGCGCACCTTTTCTCTTTGATGCTTTTGGATCCTTTATATTCTCATTTCCTTTTGCTTGACGGGAAGTACAATGTAAAGTGTTAGTGTCACCATAACTATGCTTTGTCAAAATAAGTTCTTTCTTATGATTTTTTATCCAAGATCGGATGATAACATATTTCTCTTCATCGTCCGCTGCAAGGTCTGCCACTTCTTCGAATGACCGACCCATGTCATCATACCTTTTTTGGGCTGGAGTAATACCCAAACCATCATAGCTAACGGCTACCCTCGTGTGCGCTCGGTTAATATCTTTTCTCCATCGTCGTAATATATATCGATCGGGCACCGCAACAAAGTCATCATGTATCATAACTGTGATTGCATGTCTGCATAATATTCCTCAAAACTCGAATAAAAGGCAACTACATGACACTTCATTTATCTCTTTGTTAAACCATGCATCAAATATTTTCTTCTTCCTCCGATCTCCACACATTACATCTTCACATACCTCGTACCTCGTCCCCATATGCCCATCTACTGCAGATATTAGATCACAATAAATTTTTCCGTAAATTCAGCTTGAACTTCTCTGAACTTTGGAATTGTATATAATGATTGATATTGCCTTTCCATTTCATATGTCGTCGCACATGGTATGACCTGAGAGAATGATTTGTAATCTGCCTGAATTTCTTTCTACACCTTATTTCGCAATGCTCGTTCGTATTGTTCAACGAATTGCTTCAACGAAGTCTTTGAATGTACATAACCATCAAAGAAGGCATTCGTGCTTTCACTTCTCTGAGTCGTGGACATTTCTGCCCAAAATGTGGATTTCAAGTAACATGGCACCCATCGAATGCGATTATCGAACAATCCTGATAACCAATCATTATCATACAAGTGATATTTTTCAATCATTGATCTCCAGCCTTCCTCAAATTCTTCTATTGATTGTGAATCATAAACTAGTACATGAATGGCTGAAAATATTGCGGCTTTCTCCATGTGATATCTGAATTTTTTAGGTAACTTCTTCAGAATATGCCTCAAACACCATCTGTGTCTGGTATTCGGAAAAACTATTTCAATTGCATTTTGCATGGCTTTATCTTGATCGGTAATTATCCCATTAGGAGCCTGATCATGCATGCACTTAAGCCATGTTCTGAAAAGCCAAACAAATGTATCAGTGTCCTCACTTGATACCAAACCGCAACCTAACAATATTGATTGACCATGATGATTCACGCCAACAAAAGGGGCAGAAGGCATGTCATATTTATTAGTAAGATATGTTGTGTCGAATGTGACGACATAACCAAACTCATTATATGCTTTCCTTTACCTGTTGTCCATCCAAAAAACATTCTTTAATCGAGAATCCTCATCCAAGTCAATGCTAAAGAAGAAACCTGAGCATTGAGCTTGCATATCAGAAAAGTAAGTCTGTATTGCAGCGGCATCCCCTTCGCCAAGTCTTAGGCGTCTCGCCTGTTCAACATAATTACGACAATCCTTCTCCACAAAAGTTATATTCTCATAGCCGCCAGCTTCAACAACTACAGAGTTAAAACTTTTATGTAATGGTATTCCTGCTATGTCATTCACTTCAAGCTTCCGTTTGACATTTGAACTTAACACGCGATGGCATCGATACAACCTTGACTTGGGACTGGTCTTGTGATTGTGGTCAAGATGGACATTATTAATTTTTCAATAACCATGTATGTCCAATGATACGGATATTCTAGCTTTACACCCTGTATTACTTATGGGTTGCGGCTTCATTGAAGTTCCTGCAGAACTATTTTTTCGTCCTTCGCAACTACACGTGAATGTGACATATCGTAGAACTCCATCATCATCCCTCCCCAAACTTCTTTTCTCACAGGAAAACCCGTGGCATACGCGTATCGCATATAAAAGTCATAAACTTCATTTTCACTGGGAAACTGCATTCCAACCTTAGGAATGGAATCGTCCATTTCAGTTTTATTATCCTCGAAATTTGCACTTTCTTCAGAATTTGCGTTTTCTTAATTCACAATCAAAACATCATCCATGCTCTGTTCTCCTAGTAATATACAAAAAATTCATCAATTACTTATGAAAAAAATTGTAATACAAATTTGGAGTCTGTCAAAAGAAATATATATATATATATATATATATATATATTAAAGTAAGAGTTACCAGAATATGTTGGGACAAAATTTTCATCTTTCATGGTTGATAACATGAACAAGAGAAGAGATGAAAAAGACGTATAAACAAAAATATTTATTTTAGATGTTTGATTGAGAAAATATGGCTCAATGGTTGGTCACAGCCCACTGGAAGTTGTTGCCGCCATCCGTAAGAAAAGATAATCACATATTAGTGAGGAAAATAAATTAGGGTCAAAAACAAATTTTTAATATTAGCCGTTAGTTTATCTTTAATCTTATACGTACACCTCACTTTGTCAATAAACTTTATCAATTGACTTGGTTAGGGAAGCATTATTCCTAAAAATATATGGTTAGAAAAATGTGAGATAAATATGAAATTGTGAATGAGTTTAGGGCATTTTGCTGTTAGGAAATAAATAAATAAATAAATCTGACCAACCCTATTAAAAATCGTAGATCCAACTTGACCTTTGGAAATAATATGAACCGGAATAGGAGATTTGGTGGAGTAGTATCTACTGTTAATGCATAATTATGAGCTCTCTAAACTTGTTATGAAAACTATAAATAACTTTATAGGTAGGTAGTGCAACCATAAAGATAATAAAAGTTTATTCAACTAATTGCAAGAATTAGTAACTCTAAATCAAATATAAAGTTAGCAAATGATGATATATGTACCTAATCTATTAATATATAAAGAGACAATGATATTTACTTGAAACAACAATTAAAAATCACAAAAAAAAAAACATTTGATTTCCCACCTAAAGTGTTTACTATATTGAGTAACATTTTACTTGATTCCCCATGTTGATTAGTTGAATTATTATTATTCCACTGTTTAGCACTCATTAATTTGTTCAGCTACTGTCCAAGTTAGATTGGATTGAGTAGGTTTTGATGCATGTCTTCCATTGATATAGGTCCACAAAGCATTAACTTCATCTGGAAAATTCCCGATATTCATGTTCTTCTGAACCTTTGTTTTTAGTATTTATTATTGTTTTTCAAGTAATACTTGATAGGTGTTGCATTTTGGTGTGCTAATTGCACATGTATGAGTAGGAGTGTGCATGATTCGACTAAAATCGACCGAATCGAAAATTTCAGTTCGATTTCAGTTTTCGGTTTCCAGCATTTCATTATTCGGTTATTTCGGTCGGTTACGGTTTTCGGACTTAAAATATCTGAAATAACCGAACCGACCGATTAATTATATAAGTATTATTTTAATACTGATTATTTCAATTTAAATATTATAAATAGTTTCAAGTTTTGTCCTTATGCAATTTTATTATTTTTCCTTTTTCTACATCCCACATAAAAACTCTCTATTCCCGCCAAGCCAGCATTATACCCCTGCTTGCCCTCCGTTCAGGTGACAGCTGTATCAAACCGTTCGTCTTCTCTCTCTCTCTCTCTCTCTCTGTGTGTTTCTTCAGTAACAAATCTCAAGAAATCCATAACCGATTTGCAGCTCCATCTCATTTACATCAACAAACCCTATCCAATTTCAAGAATCCGCCTTTTCTTCTTTCTGCAGGCCAACTCCAATGGCGGACGCTGAAACCCTCAAACCTCACACCAATGTTGACATCAAGTCCATTCAGAAGATTCCAGCCGATTTCGCGTCGGAGGAGCCGTTCAGGGAGCAGACGGTCGCTTTCCCGTTCTTCCGACGGCTGTCTCAAAGGAAGGAGAGCACGTGGATTGTGTCCGTGTTCGTGATTTTGCATCTCATCGCCTTTTGCGGCGCCATGATCGTCAACGATTGCTGGGGAAATTCGAACGCGCAGTGTGTTTTCAAGCAGCTCGGAAGGTTTTCCTTTCAGCCGCTTTCCGAGAATCCGCTGCTCGGCCCCTCGGCTTCCGGGTGAGCTTCGTCCTCAGTTTTTTTTTTTTTTTTTTTTTTNTTTTTTCCCATTTTCTTAATATCTTGAGTTGATATGTTGTGAAATTGTTTGTAAGTAACCGTGTCTACCTGAACTGATTTTCAGTTGCTTGAATCGATGTGTGGATGTCTGGTTTCTCGGATCAATTTGCGGTTGAGTGGATCAATTTTCCATGTGTTTTCCGCATGTTTGTGATCCTGTTCTCTGTTTTCACCACTTATTGTTTTGCAGGTTCTGTTAGAAAGATGGTGAAGTTTCATTTTTTCTTTGTTTTATTGACTGCTTCGTGTGAAAAACTGGAGTTGTTTCTATCGTTCAATTCGATTTCCTCTGCGGTACTGTTTAGTATTAAGGCATAGCCGGAAAGCCATATCACTATTTGTTAGTGTAGGTTTTGTTTTTCCTTTTCCTTCGTTGTCTTGGTATTATAGCGTACAATTTTCTGAATGAATCATTCAATCAATGTTATCTGACGCCAAGAAATCTTGCATTTGCTTTTTTAACTATTATTAACTGTGTTATCTGTGGAACGTTGGTACGATAAAGTAAAAACATGTTCCTTTTTTCAGACTCTTACTCACAACTCAAAAGTGAGTTTTATATACTGTTCACAGGCTAGATGCAGCAGGGGCTCTTCGTCTGAGATATTTGGCAAGAGATCATCAATTGTGGCGTGTGTTCTCTAGCTCGTGCTTGCATGCAGGGGTTTTCCACCTCGTCATCGGTCTCACTTGCGTCATTTTCGTTGGAGTTCACTTGGAGCAAGAGTTTGGATCATGTATTTCTACTGTCAAGTTTCTCTTTATTTATTGAAGAATGGGATTTGATTCCAATAACTAAGCTGAGGTTTAGTCTTATTAGCCAAAAAATCCCAATGATCTTCCTGAATCTCAATATTTGTTTCTGTGTAAAGTATTTTTCCACTACAAACCTTGAAGGGGGTGTTGGTAGTATCTTAATGCCGAATTTGTAATTTTGAAAAGACAATCGAAGGTTTTTGCAATCATGCAAAAGGCATCAGTATACTTTTTAGAACTATCAATTTTAAGAAACTGAAATCTTGTGTTTATGAAATTAATTCTTTCTTTACTCGATGTTGTGCAGTAAGAATAGGGATTGTCTACGTACTTTCTGCACTTATCGGTGGTCTGTTAGCTGCTCTATTTCTCCAAGATCGACCATCAGTTAGTGCCTCGGGACCATTATTCGGTTTGCTTGGTGCAACATTATCAGGGCTCATCCAGAACTGGAAGGTCTATTCCAGAAAGGTCTGCAAAAGATTTGTTTATTCGCTGCCTCAAATTCTTTTCCCATAATATGTTGACTAGAAATAATGATGTTCCTTTTGTCACGTTTCAGTTTGCAAGTCTTGTGGTCTTTCTCGTCATCTTGATGTTAAATTTCATGATTGGGCTGATGCCACTTGTCAACAATTTTTCAAACATTGGAGGGTTTATCACGGGGTTCCTTGCTGGTTTTATGCTTCTTCTCAAGCCTCAAGTGGGGAAAGTTTGTCCAAACAAAGGTGGTATATTCGATTATGATGTAAAGAAGTCGGTCGAAATAAAACGGAAGTTGGACAAGCCAGTCTTGAGGATCATTTGTCTTGTGATCTTCAGTTTTCTGTGAGTTCTTCTCTTTTTTCTTGTCCATCGTCTTTCATTTAGAATTGTGTATAAAATCTTTCTCATAATTCTTTTGTACTGCAGAGTTGTGGGAGTTGTTTTCGGCCTTCTTGAAGGGGTTAATGTGAACAAATATTGTGGGTGGTGCAATTACATCGACTGTGTCCCCATCAAGTGGTGGAGCTGCAGTGACAAGACAATGAACTGTGAGGTAAAAGTGCAAGTTATATTTCTTAAATGAGAAGTGCAAAATTCAAATAAAATAGTTTGCTGAGCTTAATTACAAACTGTCCCTGAAACTTACCTTAGTTACAAGAAAAAAGATTTTAATTTTATATTTTGGAGGAAGTACAGAGAAACTGTGATGAGTTTTCTACAATTGGTGCTATTGTTATTCGTGATCTCATTTAGATATTATTTTAATTTCTTAGATGCATGCTATTTTAGTAATATGTATTCCTAATCCTATGTCAAGGAGTTTGAAAAGCACAAGTAGGAGTATAATTCAGCCTAGATAAGAAACATAAAACCTTCTCTATTCTCAAATCTCAATAATTTGTTAGTTAAGGTGAGCTTTTATGATCTTTACCAAATTCTGAAAACAGCAACTCGAAAGTAAATACTTATTTCTTCTTTGATTGTGCAGACCATGAGAAGTTCAGAGCAGTTGACTTTGACTTGCTCAGACAACGGCAAGTTTAGAGTGTTCCCCTTTGCCAATGTCTCAAGTGCAAGACTGGAGGACCTCTGCAATTTAATATGCTCATGAAGAAGATTGTCCTTTTTCCTGTACGGCGAGACATGGTAGAAGAATATACACGCAGACATTGAGAAGTACATATGTAGAAATTCGCGTTTGGGAGCTTCTGAGATAGAATTTACTAGCCTAAAATGCCGATATTCTTTCATCTGATCATCATTTTTTTTTCCTGGATAATAGAAAGTGTTTCTCGGGATATCTTTGTATTGCAGTTCCTACACGTGTATTCTTGTATCATGTGTAAGCAAACTTGAACTAATTGGCCATGATACTTGTTAATAAGAGTAGAAATTATGTGACAAATAGACAGAACTGCTACTGCAGGTATTGACCTTGTTTCATTAAGAAAATGGCAACAGGCTTTTTATGTCTTGAAAAGTGTGATAG